CTCTCATTACATCATTATTACATCATTAGTAAAAATGTATAATAATGTGGCTATCACAAGGATACTACAAAGTATGCATTCAGGCAGTACGGAATGACATTGACCTCTGCTATGTGCTGGTTGAACACCGTCAAGCCTACTTTACGATATTCTTTTGATAACCTCATAATATTAATAAAGACTTGTACATCAATAAAATCACCTCCCAGCATACAAATGTATTTGTGTGCATCACATGCGAGAAAGAAAAAATTTTCCTGTCAGGAAAACATGCCCATCATTTTAGATCCTGTGCAGACGGATTCCAAAATTGGGTGACTCTCACAGTCTAAAAACAATGGGAAATTCCAGTCCTTTGTCCGTTGCATTTCTGACACACACAAGGCTATGTATGATGTGTAAATAGTTCTTAGTGGACTAAGTCTGCGCTCTGTTCACATGGTGATGGCCATTAGAAAATGTTGTTAAACCCCAAAACCTTGTTCACATATCTTGGTGTCGAGACCAACCCTCGAGTGAAACTAATCTGATTGACAAAAGCTTAATCTGCACGTGGGTGAAAATTAATTCTAGGTCAAACCATGCATTTTTCTACATGTGAACACCCTACTTGAAAACCTTGGTTTCCTTTTATATGCATGTACCGAATATACTTGTTAAAAGAAATCATTATGTTTTTGTTTTTTGTTTTTGTAGACTCCCTACCTGAGTTTGCAGCCTGTGACCAAAGCAACCCTAACTGCGTTGTGATTGGTGATGCAGTGGATGCATTCTCCTATGAAAATCTCAATAATGCATTTAAATTATTAATTACTTTAAAACCACCTATTTTAATATCAATGGGACGAGGGTAAGTGGTGAGTTTCTGTTTCTCTGATTCAAGGGTAGATAAATTGCAGGGCATCATGAAAATTGTGTTATACGGGGTAATGTGTGCTAATGTAATGGAGAACAGGATTAATGATTGAAATGTACAAATTAGCATACCAGGTAAATGAAGTTCAGGCTCTACCCCTGAACTTCATCTTTAATCAAAACTGAAAAATTGTGCAAAAACGTAATAACAAAGGAATCTATGGATGTACTTTAATATCACATTATTGATCCCGATATCGAATACTACGACATGAATAATATAACCATTGCATTATGACATGAATGACTTTCAGCAAAACAATCTAATCTATATTTATAAAATACTGTCTCAATTCAATAAAACGCATTGCCTTTTACTATTAATTGATACAGGTGATTTATTTCAATTCTGTTTCTTGTTAGAAAATATTACAAAGAGACTGATGGTCTTAAATTGGACGTTGGGTCATATATGAAGGCCTTAGAGGTAAATATTGCGGACTAATTTATTTCTTGATTACTGTTTCTACTGTTTGTCTTTATATTTCACCATTCAGTACCCACTCGTAAATATCATTGTATCCAGGAACCAAGGCTTCTTGTGATTGAAAGAATCAACAAACACTGCTAGAAATAATCCAAGTAATGACAATAACAAAGTTATAGGTAGGGAAATCAAACGGTAGATATTAGTTTTTAGCTCCCATGTGCAGAGAACAAAGGGGGGTTAATGTCATATTAATGTTTATATAGATAAATGGATGTGTCAACTCTAGTTCCACCGATATCTCAAGAACCACTGGATGAAGTGGGATAAAATTTTGTACACATCTGCTTGGTGATAAAGTGAAGACCCGGTTAGATTTAAGTACAATTCTGTGCATATTAAGTAGCTAATTTGCATATTAACAACTTTCAGTATGTTTTGTTGATATTCTACCAACTTAATCATGTTGATGTAATTTCAAAGTTTGTTTTAATCATTCATCTCATTCCATAGTATGCCTCTGATTGTGAAGCTGAAATTATTGGTAAACCTGCCAAAACATTTTTCCTATCAGCGTTGAATGATATGGGTATTACTCCAGAACAAGTAAGTAGAATTCTAGTAAGGAATATATTATTAGACCTTACTTTTATTTTCATATTTTGTGAACAGAGGTAATGTGACTAAATAATAACTTGTAGAGAAAATAAATATGCATATTTTTATATGGAGTTGTTGGCAAGTGACCAGTTATTTGAACAACGCATAAAATGAAAACTGTAAACTTATTAATTTTGCTGCTAGGAATTTTTGTGATATTATGATTTTATGGTATTCATGAAGAATTTTGTGAAAGTCACTGTCGTTTGTCATTTCCTTCTGGCACTTGCAGAAAAATTTTCACTACTATAAATTCACAAGATTTTTATGACTCATGAAATTTGCAATATTTGTCTCTTGCGAAATTGTTTGAATTTTGCTAGAAGGCATATTAAAGTACACAGATGTCAACGAAGTCAAGAAATCAAGTACTAGTATACAGTAAACTGCTTCAATAGGTCACCTTCATGACCTCTAAAGGTCACACATTCTGGTACTTTTGTTGGTATTAAAATTGATTTGCTTGAGTAAAATGTT